AGAGAGAGAGAGAGAAGAGTGAGGGGGGGAAAGGAGAAAGCGAGACAGAGAGGAAACGCAGGGGATAGAATACATGATCCAATGAAACCCTAGGTAGCTGGAGAACGCGTTAAAACCACCCTCCACGAATCCCGACGCGTTACTAGCTGATTACATGACAGTCACATATAGGTCAGAAAATGAAATTATAAAGCCAGCGCTGTTCAAGGACATGCGAAACGAGTATATTAAACGCCTCACATCGCCGTTTATTCAGAATGGCCGTAGGTGATTCGCGCGCGCATAACCATGAATGAAAATACATTCATTAAAGGAGGAAGATAAATTGATCCAAACCCCCTTCTAAACGCCATTGTCTATAACGAGCTCCTGTTATTGTATGTCGGTGGGCATGTCATAATATTTTAATAGATAAAAAAAGATATGCGCGCGTGAAAGGAACAAAACTTTAATAAGTAATAAGTTTAAAATCCTTTGGCTATTAGATAATGATGGCCAAGAAAAAGGTGTGACGTCAGAGATAAAAGTTCTAAGATAGATTAGAAATTTAAAGTGCTATTTTCCACACGGAAAGTTCGGAATGAAAGGAGGGCGCGAACTAAGCTGACTTCGTAGTTAGAATAGCTTTTTCTCTTAGCAAAAAGCTCTCTTCTCAGGGGCATTGTGAAGCGGCGCTGAGTGGGCATACTTGTCGCGATGCGATCTCGAAAAATATCTTCGTACCACTTTAGCACCATGGCAGTAGGTCAAGTTTTTAGAAAATCCGGGTATAATCTCGGTTAGCTCGTTCGCGTAATCATTTCCGCAGGAAACCAGGCGACTCGCTATACCTGGCCCTACCGCAAAACTTCGTGAAGTTTTCCTCCTAATAGAGAGACATATCGTACAGCGAACGTCGATAAACTTCGAGAATCTGAAACTTTATAATCCCGAAACGATATTCGAACCCGATTTCTTCGCATTTCTGCACAAATTACGGTAAAGCAACCATTAATTCCTAAAATTCTTGACATATGGAAACTCTCTATACTATTTAAATATTTTGGTTCAAAGTTAGATAACATTTTTAAATATTGTTGTAATAAATTTGATTATCATTATTGCATCATTAATATTTGCTATAAAAAAAAGCACATTTTCTATTTGCCATATTTTTATAAGTGCTTCTAAAATTTGGACTAGTAGCAAAAATAAAATAATACAATAATAAAAATCTTCTGTAACTGGTACTTTTGTAAAATCCCAAGAGGATTTTTTAGAGAGAAATCTATTTGTAGAAAATGATATATCTTTTTGTAAGATCGCATCTCTTCATAAGTCTTCCTCTCATCAATCATTTCCTCTGTCATCCACCCTCTTAAGTGTTGTCGCTCATTTTCTTCTACGCATCTTCCTCTTTTGTGAGATATTGACACATCTTGCTGCCATCGACGCGGGTTCATTTTCTATATTATATATTACATCATTATTTAACTCTATTCTTCAACGGATCAGATTTTAATTGCGGCTGAGGCGCACGGTGGATTAAGACAAAAGAACCTCGCCACGACGATCGCCGACATCTTTCTCTCTCCCTCTCTCATCCCGACAATTTTCAACATAATTATACGAAACAATGACGGTGTCAGTCTACTGAACGTATCTAAAATTATGTTCCTCTTTCCACACTTTCGATAACGCAATGTAATCTAAAAGCAATTTTTGAGAGACAAACGAAATATAATGAACGAAGTTCATTAGCGTTACAATGACAAAAAATAATGGAAAGAAACGAATGAGAATCATAATCCTCGTAATTTTTCAAAGAGGCTTTTCTTTTATGTCATCCCATAAGAATATTCTCATTAGAGGCGTAATTTTCCGACAGTATTACGAGAGAATGTATTAACGCCTTATCACAATGTTCTAATTTCCTGTTGAATACTTCCAGCAACTTCAGTAATGCACCATGAACCCACAAGGAACAAAGATACCCGACCACCTCGTACAATCCTAATCCAGGTTACCATCTTCATGACCCGTCGATGGTAGTAGCTACCTCAATCCTCAGTGCTCGCATTGTCTTCTTTAGAAGCACGGCGCGATCGATAAATCCCAACGACACCGGACTATAGACATTCCGCTAAACTCGGCGCGACTCTATTTGCACCATCGCCCACCTCTTTGAGACGAAGAAGACTTTCGTGATGATCACGACGAACCCTTTCAGGATCAAGTAGGTAGGTAGGTTCGTTTGAAGTTCGCTAGGGAAAAATCCGAGATTTTTTCGCGCCGGGTTGTCCAATCCCCGACCTCGTCCATTTCCTCTTTCTCCCTTCCTCCCTCTCCCCCCCCCTCCCTGGGTTGTTGTACGGTTTCGCCGCACGGAAACTGCCCGACGAGGTAGACTCTCAGCGTTGGCACTTGCCCTTGACTACGAGGCGCGAGAACGCTCGTCTGAGGGGTTTGTCGACTCTCTCTCTCCTCCCCCCCTCTCTTTCTTTCATTTTCTCTTCCTCTTCCGACAGACGGGTCGGGTAGGCGCAAAAAAGAAAACGGGGAGCGAACGGAGTAGAGGAGGCACGACGCAGACGAGACGCGTGTCGTCCTGCCTCCGTGGCTTTCACTCTCTCGCTCCTCTCAACGCGACGTACATCCGTTCATCCGTCCGTCTATACGTACATACGCGTCACATAGTTGTGCATGGCGTCGGTCTCTCTACGTGCCAACGTAAAGTGAGTAGACTCGCGTCGAGTGGAGGGTGCAGAGTGCTCCGACGCGGCGCGTCGAGTGATCATTCGGGGTTGGGTTGCTTGGTTAGTTGTTCGATTGGTTCCCCGGTCTTAACCGTAAGCTAACCGGAGATCCATTCATATAAAGATCGCTGTTGCGCTGTTGTAGTATAACGGTAATCTCGCAAACGGTATTTGCGTAACAAATCAATCAGATCACGAAATATTTTTCCCTCAAAAAAGTTGTAAAATCGTCGTTCATCTTGTCAATACTTCGGTCGAACCGCAAACAGATCGGACGCGATAACGTAAACATGAATTTGCAATAGGATTAAAATTATTTTGCGGAATGCAAAATAACGGTACTAGAAAATATTTTCCAGCAAATTTCGGTACTCGCGGTTTCGCGCGTTAATTGCTCTTCAGTTTCAATGGCATCATTATATCGCACGTTTACGCGGATTCATATCGAGGCGATCGACCTCGAGTGCACTCTCTCTCGATGTGATAGACGTAGACTCGAAGCGACGTAATCAAACGGTGCATTAAATGCAACGTTACGACTTGAGGATCGATTCGCTGAATATATATATATATATATATATAGCGGTGTACGATCACGAAACGTTGTGTTATGTCGACGTAAATAAGTAAGACACCGCGCTACATTTTATCGCCATATGCGATGTATAATTGGAATCTACGTGCGATAGAGCGAAGTAAATTGAGGCGATACGTAAATCGTGTTCTTCTTAATTTGTTCTATTTGCCAATTAAAAGACGTATTCGCTTTCGCCACTGTCACGTTATCGCACAATAATAATACAAAATTTGTGGCAGCCAGCCAAGTTTTACGTCACTTTATGTTTTTTATCAAATTATTTGAGAGAGATCTACAATTGAGATTCTATCCTATTCTATTCTAGAACGTGAAGTTTAATAACGTAGCTTTCCGCGTGTTGTCCCATTTTTCTTGCTCATTATTTACACGCAGTTTGCTATGCTCAAAAATATTAATTAATATTAATTAATATTTCGTATGAATTGTACAAATTGCTCTTTTTTTTTAAATAAATAAAGTTAAAAATTTCCACTAATCAAAACATCTTTATATATCTGATGCATCAAGATCAAGTCGTAAATTCAGGAATAAGATTGGTAGAAATCTAGAATAAGAAGCTACACTGGGAGTGTAACTATTCTCGCAAGACATTTCATGGAATTCTTAATGCATTCCCGGACGTTGTATACCCGAAAGAGAACAGAACTCTCTGCAATTGCGACGCAAGAGATTTTCCACGTTTCTGACTTCACGGCGGTGTTAACGCGCGGTTTGCTATTTTGCGAGGATTCGCGGTACATTGCACGCTCGTTATACATCGTCTCAATTGCACGCAGCATAGAAAGATGTGGGACATACCTTTTAGATGTTCCGGGGTATCCGCTGCGCCAGCTCGCATAATGTCGCTCAGATAGTGTTCCAAAGTCCTCATGTTATCTAACGGTGAGTTCCCATTAGCCGTCATACGATCCTGGAAAATATCGAGAGGATCGTGAATCTTATATTCGTAATGGCTCTTACAATTCATTCAATTGTTGCGTATCTTACGAGAAAAAAACCGTTTTTTTTTTTTTTTATATATACTGGAAATTTTTCGCAGTTATCAGATAGGTAAAAGACATGAATTAGTATAGTTCGTAAAATAAGTTTTGTAATTATGTACCCTAAAGATGATATCTAAACAGAATCTGGCTTTTCTCAAGTCTATAAATCTCAATCTTGAAATGCGTCAGTGGCGCAAATTC